GATATTTTCACAAAACCCCTTGCTGAAGATAGGTTTAAGTTTATTCTGAAAAATATTTGTATGGATTTTTGTCCAGAGTAATATTTCTCAGAGTCTACTTCTCAGATGCTAAGTGTTTAACACTCTGAAGTATTTCATCTGTTTTGCTTGTTTAATTTATCTGTGATTTATTTTTGTGTGAAACTCTGTACTGACCATCTCAGAGGATCTGAAAGTTGAAAACGTTTCATTTCTTAAGAGTTACAGAATCACATGCAAAGCAAACACGTGTCACTCAGAATCTGAAAAGATGGAGTACACCTACTGACTATGACGTTTAAGGTATTGCTTTGAAAATCTCAATCTGTCTTGATTTTCCCCCCAAATGTCATATCATAATTAAAAATGATTACTTTTCATTAAATGCAAACGTGCGTATGTGTCCTATGTATGTCTGTTGTGTTTCCCATGCGTGTTTTATTTTTCTATATAAACCACTCTCACAACACATTCACACTTTTCACATTCTCAACACATATGCGCTTTTGTCTGTTGTTCTCTCTCTTCTCAAACCCTAAAAGAACCCAGAAACCGTCATCTCCTTCTTCATCATCAACAATGGCATCTACATCAAAAGCATTTACTACCAAAGATTCTACCACTATCATTGAACCAGTACGCACTCTCCTGACTCCTGTTGATTCTCTAGAAGTGTTATGTGAAAGTTTCGTGGATTTGGAAGACCTTGCTGAAAATGGGTTTGATCTGGTTCCTTCAATCAAAGCACAAGGCTGGGATGGTTACTTTGATAGGCTGATGGGTCCTGTGTATCCAAAGTTAGTGAAGGAGTTTTGGATCCATGCATTCGCTACTCCAAAGTTCGTTCATTCTTCTGTGCTGGGTAAGAAGATTGTTATCACTGAAAATCTGATCAGGAAACTCATAGGTTTCACAGCAACTGATGGAGTAACCTCTCTGTCTTCTGCGCGTGAAGACCTGAAGGATGTTTGTCAAGAAATCTGCACTACTGGTGAACCTTGTAAGAAGGTTAAGTTTTTGAAACCCACTTACAAGATTTGGGCTAAGATTTTCTTGAACACCATTTTTCACAGACCCTCCTCAAACTCATCTGACTATGTTAATGCTGAACAACTTTACTTCATGTACTGTTTGCATCAAAACATTCAGATTGATCTTCCTTATCTGTTGTTCAATCATCTGGTATCTCATGTCAAGGAAACAAGGGAAACAGCAAGAGATAAAACTGGAAAAGTCAGATCATGGATTCCTATGGGAAGACTGATTTCAGATATTCTGGTAGAAAACCAACTTGTGGCGCATCTGCAAGAGGCTGGGCTGACAGAAGATCTGAACTTTATCATTGGCTCTGAGATAAATGGCTTAACTCTGAGAAGGATGAAATTGGTTGAAGATTTATCTGAGAAACCAAGGAAAACTAACTCTGAAGAAGTTAGGGGGAGAAGGATTCCTGTTGAGGACTTTCCTCTATTTACCTCAGATGAACCCAGAGAGCTAATAGCTGAGTATGTTGCTTGCTGCATCAGAGATGGTGTTGAGATCCCTGCAAATCTTGTGCAGAAGGAAGGCCAAGTTCTTCCTGATCAGACAAGGGAAAGAAGACGCAAGAGAAAAGCTGATAAAGAAGGTCATCAGAAGAAAAGAAAGCATTCAGATGCTGAGAAGAAGAAGAAAAGAAAGAAGCTGAAGAAGGTTCAACAAAATCCTCCTGCAGCAACTTTTGAAGAGATAAGAGATACTCTGAAACAGGTATTTAACACTGATTCTAATCCTGTTCATCATTCTGCTACCACACCATCTGACTCACCCCTCATATTTAAAAGATCTAGACCATCTGAGACTCATACACCACAACCAACAAACATTCAAACACCACAATCCAAACAAACTCAACAAACAACACCACAACCTCAAAACCCCATCCCAGAATCTACCATTCCAGAGGATGTTCACCCTGAACACTCTGACCAACCTGAAAATCCCATTGATCCTAATGAGATATTGGATATCACACCCTTAAACCGTTCTATCATTTTATCTTCAACTTCTGAAAAATCTAACCAATCTGATACATCATCTGATGATGAATCATCTGGTTTCATTAATGAATGTTTGAATGATCTCAAACAACCTCGTACTGAGAGTGTTTGGAAACAACTTTTTAAATCTCCCACCTCTGATCATCCACCTTCTCCACAAAATTCCCCCACTCAAACTCTCAATCCACAACATCTTGAAATCCAATCCACTCCACAACCAACATCTGAACCACAACCAACATCTGAACCACAACCATCATCTGAACCAACCAACCAACAAACTTCTGAACCACAAATTAACCAACAAACATCTGAACCTCAAACATCTGAACATCCATCTCCACAACCTCAACCTTCTAAACAAACACCACAAACACAACCAACCCAACCCAGAATCCCTGATGAAGCAGAATTGGGATCAAGTGTTTATACTATGTTAAGAAATTTTGACAAGGATAATGTCTCAGACTTTGCTGACATTATGGATGTGTGCATGACTACTATGGATAAAGAGGCTGCTAATGCTGTCTGGAAGAAATATCTTTACAGACTGAATAGGGAGGCTTTGAAAATCAGGACTCAATGTCTTAGATTGTCAAAAGTAAGGCTTGCTGCTTATCAGAAACGGATTAAGAAAAACCCTCCTCCTATTCTTCTTCTAGAAGCTCCTCCACCTCCAGAAATTCCTGCACCCAATGTCACTCAGATTGTTTCAGAATCCACTGTTCCAGAATCTTCTATTTCAGTATCTACAGATCTTCAGAAGGATGTCAAGGAACTAAAGGATTTCATGGTTGATCAAAAGAAGACAAATGAAGAAATGAAAACTTGGATGGCTAAGCAAGATGAGAATTCAGAGAGGATTACAGCACTGCTGCAACTCATCGCTTCTCAACAAGCCTCATCTGCCAAACCTTCTTAATGTTTTTGCACAAGTTTTTCATGCTTTGTTTTGTTTTTGATTGTCTTCTGATATGTTTTGTTTGCTTCTATCTGAATCTGGATGTTATCTTAATGAAAATGATCTTTTGCTTATCTGGATATGTGTTTCTTCTGCTGCATCTTTACTGTCTTTTAAAAATCTTTTTGATTATGACAAAAAGGGGGAGAAACAAAATAGAATCTGATTGTTCAAATCTATAAGCAATTATCTGAACTAAGTCAGACATGTTACTAACATTCTTTGAATCTAATCAGAATCTGACAAATTTATCTAACCAGACTCTGACAAATTTCATTGAAGTTTTTCCTGAGATCTATCTTTTCAGAACCTGATCAAAAATAGCTAAATCTGAGTAAACCAGACTCTGATATCTAAAGACCAGACTCTGATATCTAACCTTGAGTACTATGATCTGAAAGATAACTCAAGACAGGAAATGGCAAGATAAACAACCAAGTGTTCTGAAGTTGTTCATCTGGCATCAAGCTTTAATATGACATCAAGCTTTGGCATCAAGCTTTGACTCTAGAAGTCAAACATATATCAACCAGGATTTGTCAACCAGGCTTCAATCAGGATGTTAATCAGGCTCTGAACCCAAAATGCAATCAGGCTCTGAATCTGAAATGAAATCAGGCTCTGAATCTGAAATATACTCAACCAGAAAGGGAAGTATCTAATTCCATTAGAGTATTCATTTCAGGGGGAGATTGTTAATCTCAGGGGGAGTAATTTTAATTCATTTTTATTGAACAAATTGCTCATGTTTTGTCATCATCAAAAAGGGGGAGATTGTAAGAGCACAGATTGTGTCTTAGTAATATCTCTATGTTTTGATGATAACATTAATGATAATTTGTATACAAGAATTATACTCTCTAAATTTGTTCTAAACTGTTTTCTACAGGCACAAAAGATTTTAATCTTAAAGAGCAAATTTGATGTGAACAATGAATTCTGAATGGCTCAAGAGCATCTGAAGATTAGAAGAATCTGAAGTATAAGAGCTTAGTTATCAAGATTCTGAAGATACAACACGCTGCATGTATTATCAAGAATCTGAATAAGAGAAGACTCTGAGTGAAGAGACTCTGAATGAGAGAAGACTCTGATCTGAGTGAAGACTCTGATCTAAGAGCATGTTACGCTTCAAGCACACAGCTGCACCAGACTCTGATTCATCAACATCTGAAGAACATATTAGGCTCTGAAGTTTCCAGAAGGTTCTGAAGACTGAAGACTCTGATATTGATTGTTGATCTGAATTATTTGAAGAAGAATATTTTAATATATCCGTTGGAATATGCCAGCAAAATCTTTCCTTAATTGGGATAGACAAAATTCTCTGCAAGAATATTATTCCTCTGGTACATTCCTTATATGGTATAATCACAGCTCAGCAGACAATTGCTACACCCACTATTTGTGCGCCGTCTCTCTGCTGTAATAGTACAAAGGACAGTACTATTTTGATATTGGAAATATTTTCTCTAACGGTAAAATATTCTCTCCAATATTCAAGTGGCTATATAAAGGACATCATAGCTCATTCTTCAAGTGCTGAATTACAACAATATTGACAAGAACTCTCTCACGCTAAAAGCTTTCATATTCTTCACTGTTCATACATTGTTCTAAACTTAGAGAAATAACACAGTTGTGTTTATAGCTTTCATAGAAGCAATTCTTACTCTTTCATTGTATTACATTAATTTGTAAAGAAAGTTTTCCTTAAGAGGATCTAGGTTAGATCAGTAGCTCTTAAGAAGACTAAGAACAGTTGTTCTTAGGTGTGCTATTTGTAATCAGTTGATTTGAATAGTGGATTAAGTCCTTGTTGAGAAAGGCAAATCACTCTTGAAAAGGGTGGACTGGAGTAGTTGAGTTCAACGAACCAGGATAAAAATACTTGTGTTTTTATCTTTGATTATTTTCTGTCATACTTATTCAACCCCCCCTTCTAAGTATTTTCTCACCTTCAGAGGGGATATAGGGTCCCCTTACTTGATACCTCTTTTGGCCTGCATAACAGCGGTGGGCTCTCTATTAACAGTAAAATTATATGCGACAGTAGATTTCATTTTCATAATCCAACTAGTAAATCTGCTGCGTATTCCCATCTCCCTTAAAACAGTCTCCAACGCATGCCAATCCACCATATCACAGGCCTTCTGCAAATCAAGTTGGATCATAGCCCTAGGAGTACCTCCTTTTCTTGTGTAACCCTTAAGAAGTTCATAGGTAAGCATGATATGGTTATGAATAACCTGTCCTGGAACAAAAGTAGCCTGGGATAAATTGATAATGCTAGGAAGCATCTTCCCCATTCTGGAAGCTAGGACCTTTGATATTATCTTATAGAAAGTTTTACAACCTATTATGGGCCTATAGCCTCTTACAAACTTTGCATCTTCAATCTTAGGAACCAAGGCAACAATAGTTTGGTTAAAAGGTGCATAAAGTCTGTCCTGTTCAAAAAATTCCATTACTGCATCAACAACATCCATCCTAATAATGTGCCAATAAGATTTGAATTTTTTTGATCCATAGCCATCACCTCTTGGGGATTTCAGATCTCCTATATCTTTCAAAGCATCTTCAATTTCTTTGATAGTGACAGGACTCGTCAGAATTTCTCTTTACTTCATCTTGAGTTGGTTTCCTCTTTTAAGAACCTCAATATCTACATGAGCAAGTGTATTACTCCTTTGACCCATTAGGTTTCCATAAAATTCAGTCACCTCTTGGTACAATATCTCTTTGAAAAGTTAAAATAGTGTTATCCAACCTTTATATCACCCTCATGCTCTTTGAATTATGCCTAGCCTTCAAATAAGCATGGAAGAAAGCATTATTACCTCATCATAGACTTGATATGCTATCTTTCTTGCAATTTTACTTGACTAGGTATCACTTAAAAAACCTTAACCATTAAACATGTTTTACTATTATATCAACAAACATGTTGATTTCCTTATTTGTCTTTTCTATAAATAAGACCATTCTAGCCGCCACTACAAACAAAAATATTCACTTTTAAAATTATTTCAATTGTTATTCCTAACAGAGACCTTAACACATATTCATAATTCTCATGCCATATTATTATATCCTTATTAGTCAAATACTCAAATCATAAAGTTGATTCAGGTGTTATACTGTACATTAAATGACTTTAGGGCAAAACAAAAGGCTGACTAAAACAATAGGCTAACAACCCAATGAAAGCATTTTTCTGGATAACAAAATTGACGCGGCGATCAAATACTTGAGTAACTCGTCCGTAAAATTCATGTATCAAAAGATAGTGTTTTATTTGACTTTTAACCTATTCCAAAATAATTATTATTTTAAAATATTATTAATAATATTTTTATTATATTTTATTGATTGACTTTCATTGCATTTAACTATTTTATTAAATATAATTAATTAAGTATTTTAACAAATAATGTTAATTTTATTATTAAAATTAAAACAACTAATATTTTTAAGTTTTATGATAGAATTAATTCTAAACTTAAACTGACACACGTTGCGGATATGATTAGATTCATTATAAGACAAATATCATTTAACTATTTTAAAGTTTTTGTACTTAAAGACAAATTTTGAATTCATCTTCTTCAAATTATAACATATAGGGTATTGATGTAGCTACCTACTTAGAAATGTGTTTATCGTCAAAATTGGTAAATAAGTGATAGTCTTTTAAATTTTATGATTTTGGTTATTCGTAGGATCGACTAAATTGATCCTAAGACATGTGCTTTTACTTTCTTCAAATTTTATTATTTATGAACATTTCGTTAATATTCTTTCAATTTGTTAAAAATAAAGTTACAATTCGTAAAGAAATGCAGAAATGTAAATGACTTCAAAGTAAATTTACAGCAAATGCAAATGACAAAATCTTAAATGATTTGATAAAAAGTGTAAAAATATGGTGATCACATGTACATTGCACTCATGAACTCGTTTCTCCACAACATAGATACTTTGAGTAATATTTGAGATTTTGTACATGATTGAACACCCGAATCCTAATCACTAAGATTCCTATTTATACTAAATTAAAAATATCAGTAACAAACGACCTCTTTCTCCAAAAGATGTCACGTTTTCAATTGCATGTACTTCGCTATGATGTCATGGTCATCATGACCATGTTTCTTCAGACGTCTCATCGAGACGTGCAAAAATCTCAATTAATCATCACACTCATATTTCCTAGGAGATCGTGGGCCACGATAAATGCCACCTTCTAATCATTCTTTCTTTGATCAACACGCGTCTCGTGATCTTTAACAACTGTCAGCATTTTGAAATGAAGCGTTTTCCATCCCATTATAAGTACCTCACTTCACCTTCTTTCTCATTTTTTACTCTTCTGAACTTTCCTCCATTTTGAAGCATAAGAACAAACTCTTCATTTTCTCTCAACGAAGCTCCAAACAAACCAAAGTTCTTCCCTATTTTCATTATCAATGGCGTCAAAAACCAAGAACTCCAAAGACTCTAAAAAGCAGGTGTCTCTTCCTCCTGTTCACAAGATCTTAGGCCCTAGAGTTATGGGAAATCAATAATACACCCCATAGCCTCCTCTTGAAGAAGAAAAATGACACACTTATCAGTCACATGTATTGATCCTTATCTTAATCTTTGGCAAAACGCATGCTATTGTAGGTCATTTACCAGATATTAATGTTAACTTTGAAAGACTTAAAAAGTACTTTCCAACTTATCATAGAACCAAACCAATAGCTAGTATGAAAAAAAATCTAAAACTAGCAATGAGACTGTGAATACTGAACCAAATACTGTAATTTATACCTATGCAAAATCTTCGACTGAGCCCATAGAAAAACCTATTAACTTAGACTATATGAGCAACGCTCTTAGAGTATTTCGCTATTGTCCCTTGTCTAGAGATCTTGGAAATTTCTTGTCTTGGCTTGCAAAAATAGAGAAAAATAAAACCTAAACTTGGAAAGATATGGAGATCTTCAACATGATTCAATTGTTAAAAGCTGGACCAGGCTACTACCAAACCATGCTGCTAACTTCTCTATATTTCTGGGATAACACTCACAACAACTTTCACTTCCCTTGTGGAATGTTGACTCCAAACCTTTTCGATAATACTGCAATCATTGGTCTTCGACCAACTAGAGACGCCTTTGATCCCAACCACATGGCTCAGGACACCATAGGCTTCGATGGCAATCAAGTTATCTTTACCCATTATATCGCAGATCACTATAACAAGGATACTAGAGAAGTTTCAGACAAAAAACACATTGCCTTCCTCGCACTCTGGCTATCTCAATGCATTTTCTGCTCGAAATCTCTGCAAGTGGCGAAGAAATTCTTGACCATGGCAAACCAATTACATGCTGGACAAAAGCTCTCCTTAGCCAAATGGTTTTAGGTTGTCTCTATGAGTCTTTAGGAGAAGGTGTTGAAATCCTCAAGAAAATTCAATTAGGGTCGAATATACTACTAGCTGGCCCATTTTGGTTGCTTCAACTGTGGCTGAATGCTACCTTTGAATCATCACTGCCAACCTACAACACAATCAATAAAGAGGCTGACGAAATCAAAAGCAGAAGGATCGAAGGAACACGCCTTGTCCAACTGACTCTTAATGATGAAGGGTTGAACTTGCAGAAGACTTTTACTAGATATATGATGATGTATGTCAAGCGCTACAATTTCACTCCTTCTATGGCTCCCTTCGCCAATAAGACTTATGGCTCAGAATGGTTTACTAGGAAGTTCCCTACTCATTTGAAAGATCAAGAGGCAAAATCCTTGGCCATATGGGAAGTGTTTCTCACACCAAAGTTGATTACGACAAGGCTTAGACCTTCGAAAAACCAGATAATTCTTCTAAGTTACCAACCTAATCTCGTCTCTCGGCAGTTTGGACTCAACCAAGTCATGCCCAAGCCAATCTTCCCAAAGAAAAGTGCCATTGTTCTCTACAACATTTACCATACTAAAGTTGAATTTAATGAAGATATGTCTCATTATGTTGGCACTACACAAATTACTCCCATTCCATTTAAATCATCATACCACTGCACTCAAGAATATGTATGACACTTGGTGGAGAAATTATTACTCCACGAAGATGTTTGATGTTCCTGCTTTTACTCAACACTTAACAACTGCTTTTGCTTCTGTACAGGATATATCCAAGAAAGGTTTTTTGACTCACATCAAAGAAATCTAAGCATTCCAAAAGTACTTTGAGACTGCCTACAAACTTGACGATCTTAGTTGAACCATCAGCTGAGCAACATTAACTTTGAGAGAAAAATTTACAAAGAAACTGACTGATTTAAAACTACCTTCGTATGTTAAACAGGAACACAAGTATGAGTTGGATTTAATTTGCACCCACCAAGATTCTCTCAACTGCCAACGACTGATTTTTGCGTGGCTTTGAGCCCTCATTTCCCGACTGGTTTGTCTGTGGGGACTTCGTGAAAATTCTTATAAAATACTCTCAAAAGCTTGCCAAACGGGTGGTTCCGACTAAGCACACTCTGGATAGTTTCAAAGGACGTCTTCATATTGACATAGAGCATGTTCATGTACTCTCTCCTATATATAAAGGTGTGTAATATGAGGGTTTTTCGATTTAATTTTCTCTCCTATAAATTTCTTGAAACCCTTTTTACTTGTGGCAATTATTTTAACCTATTACTCTTTTAGTTTTCGAAAGAAAACAACCAACAAAAGGTCCAGAGAAGAAAACTTCCAGGTTGGCCAAAGACGAATGCCAAGAAGAATAAACCACCAAAATAATAACAAAGGTATACTTTGTTTTTTTTTTATTTCGCTTGATATATTATCTTCATATGCTTATGCTTGTGTTATTTTCAAATAAGCCAAAGACCACCTCAAATTCCAAAGAAACGAAAGACCAAAGAACCCCAGGTTCAAACAATGGAGTCAGACGATGATGATCTTTCACCAGACACTTCCAAAGTTGCCAAGAAAAAGAAGAAGGCGAAGACTTCTGACGCCACTTCTCAGCTGAAACCCAACATTATCAAGATCAAACCCAAAAAGCCTATTACTCCAAAGGTGATTGATGTTGACCTTGAACCTGCTGCCAAGGATACTTCTGAATAGCTTGAGAGTGACAACTTCAGCCCTGGTCCAGAAGGTCTTAAGGTAATAAAATCTCACCTCATTTTCCTTAGCCATTTTTATTTTCGAATCATCATAATTCGATTCCTTTTATGTAGGGTGGCGCAGATGGCACTAAACAGTCAAATGTCAACGACACTATCCTTAGGAACACCAACACTCCTTTGAACCATCCTCTATCCAACAAAGATTCGAACAAGGAGTCTATGGGTGAAGTAAACAAACCTGCTAGAGAACAACAAGAGATCTCACCCCCAAAGGATACAACTTAACACTCTCAAACCACTGATTCCGCTCATGAAGATGATGAAGAAAAAAAACATCACACCACAAAAATCCATGAAAACATGCACATCCAACATACTGAAGAGAATGTGTAGGACAAAATAAATGATTCTTCGCCAAGAATATTCAATCAAGGCGAAGATTCCCCAGATGAAGAGGAAGACAAAGACGAAGATTATCCCATGTTTGACTATGCTTGGGGAGATATCATTGAAAAGATTACACACAAAAAAGAGCAGTTGTCTATTATCTAAAAAAAATGGGGGAATGCTAAAACTGGGATTCATTTGTTGTTGCAATTATTTGCTTGTAGCATACCATATTTCAATGGATTGGCGTAATTTTTCTAACGCATGGATATTCCCTTAATGATTATGTTTTTCCAAAACGGAACTTTGTTGAAAGAAATACAACTTTGAGCTATAGTTAGCTCAGTACTAGTCAAGAATCCGCAAGGAATGTTGAGAATTTTTGTTATACACTCGTTCTAAGTATAAATTCTTTTTTCTAGATTCATGGATATTGAATTAATCAGACGTATTTCTAATATCTGTTCCAATTTTGGAAGACCTTGTGTTATATCACCGGATCTCAATTTTTCATATATGAATGTAACTAAAATATCTCCTTGAGAAAGGATCTCCCCATAATGGCTGTGAATGGTTACTCCTGGAGTCACCAAATAAGGATTAGTCGAACTTATTATTACATAATCCATTTGAATTGTCGGGTGCTGCAACGAAACTGATTGTAAAAGAGGATAAATCAACAACATTAAAATTACCTTCTGGAGAGGTTCGTAAAGTTCTCAACAACTGTCGGACAAGTATGGAATGTTGGGTGAAATAGAAAAGTTTGGGCAGAGTCAGAGCTAAACGTTGGTGAGGCAAGTGTCCTGTAGTAAGAGGGCTAGTTATGAATCAATACTCTGAAATTAGATTCAATATAAGCTATTTTATTTCACTCATATAACTATCTAATTTAGTTCAACTACGAGCCTAGCAAAATAAAAATTTGGATAGAATCCAATAAGATGGATCTCCCCCTTTGAAAATCGGACATGAGGATTTCCTCTCATCCTGCTAAAGTATTTGCACACAATTAAAGATAAAGAAAGGGGTTTCCACTTTCCAATTTTTGAAAACCTCTAATCTAAAATAAAAAAAATGTTTACTCTTTTCTCAAGTTATCAATAAAGATCAAACAACATTTCATTGACATATTCTTCTTTTTAATGTAAAATTCTTGAGTAGTCTACCTCCCTTTGAACGAGGAATCCTCTAAAATAAAATTCTTTATAAAAAAGGAATATCCTCGAATTCATAAGAGAAATCCTTGAGTAGTCTACCTTCCTTTTAGGTTAAGACGTCACCGAAAAGATACCTAGAATACGAGTTAAAATTCATTAATGGACTATCTTTCCTCGCTTGTTCCTTCTCATTTTTCTAAGACAACAAGCTAGTTAGAAATCCTTTATTTTTCGGACCAATCGCTCTTTTGATTTTGAAAAAGAAAAAAATCTTTATTAATATATGATTTCTTCTACACATTTTTTGGATTGGACCAAAAAATAAAAATTTTTTAATTAGCTTGTTGTCCTAGAAAAATCAGAAGGAACAAGCGAGGGGAGATAGTCCAAACAAAAAAATGTAATATTCTTTTAACGATAAACTCCAAGTAGTGAATTAGCGAAAACTCTTATACGGAAACACAACATGACCAAGTGTCATTTTTGTTCTCTGGATAGGCTAGCAACTAAGAAAATGCTACATCGCTTTGGGTTGCTTGACAATGATATCGGTTGTTTTTGCCGGAAACAAAAAACACTTCAACATATCCTTTTTTTTCTTGCCCAATCTTGAAAAGTATTTGGAGACATGTTTTGAGTAGGATGTAGATAAATCATACCCCAGAAGGATGAAAATAACTCAATTGGATCATTCACAAATGGAAAAGGAAAGATTAATAACAGAGATTGTTAAATGTGCTTTTGTAGAAATTATTTAAGATTTCAAAATTTAGAAACCTACTGTGTTGGTAACAAAGTGAGTAGTACTACCATAGATTCTCAAGTCATAGATATCATTGTGTATAGGATTTAGACAAAACCTAAGTTTAGACATCATATTGGTAGATTAATGATACTATAATCCGTCTTTAAGTTGTTGTCTTTCTTGTTCTTTTACTTAACTGAATTTTTTTTGAATTGTCTTGTTTATATAGTATTTTTGAATTTAGAAATAAAGTATTTTCGTTAAAAAAAATTCCTATCTTTGTTTAAAAGAAAATTACTTCTGTTTATCAAAAGAAATTGATAGTAAATTATTTTAATATAAATATATTGACTTTAATTATAAAAAAAAACTTAAATCAATTAAGACTCAAAATAAATTAAATTAAAATTAATTTAGATTGCATCACACGTGTGTCACAAATCACAATCTAGTTTATCGGTTCAATTACGAGAGAATGAGTAGTATTCATTGACTCATTCCTTGAAGTCCTTGTATTGTAGTACCTCACGTTCAAGAAGAGCTTTGATAGCTGTTGGCAAATTTGTAATCTCCATAAAAAAACAAGTTACTTTTGTTGTGAAGAGTGAATTTTGAGTGACACAGCAAGAAAATCCGCACCTAAAAGCATCTCTCACATGTTAATAGTTAATACACCTTAGTGGGGGGACAAAACTTGGATAATACGCACTCTTCCATGTCGAATGAAAAAAACGGCAGCGTTTCACGTGACTAGTGTGTTTATATATCCAAAATTTAAAGTATAATAATAATAATAAAAAAAAAATCTAAAAAAAAAAAAGTAAATTTGTACCAAAAAAATAAAAATGAAATATTATTTATTGGCATTGAGCAGTTGATTTTTGAGATCTGGAGTTGGATTCAACAGGAATGAAGTTCTTCTGAATTTCATGTTTAAAAACCCTAATATCTTTCTGTTTCAGGTAACTGCTCATCTTTTTCTTCTCTGCAATTTCCTCATTTAAGCTATTTCCAATGATAGATTCTAATCTGAAATTAATTTAGTACTATCTGATTACTTTGTTAGGTCTTTTTTTACCAAGATTATGCTTCTGAGGTTATGTTTATAAATTTGTAGTTTGAACAAGTTGCTGCAAAGTTTGGGTTCTGTTTAGGGTTTTTGTTTCCCTGGAAGTTTGAATTTTTAGGAATTGAGAGAAAGATGGCTAGTGGGAGGTTTTGTAAGGATGAAGAAGATAAGGCTATGTTGGAATCTGTATTGGGTACTGATGCTGTTGGATTTTTTAGCACAGCTGTTTCTAAACATGTTTTTTCTGATGTTATTGTTCCGCCTAATCTGGATACTGGTATTCATAAAAGGTTGTGTCATATTGTTAAGGGTTCTAGGTGGAATTACGCGATTTTGTGGCAGGTTGCGGGTTTGAAATCTGGTGGGTATGTGTTAAAATATGGGGAGGGACATTGTCAGGATCCTGTTGGGGGTCCGAGGAATGAACAGGAAAGGGAGAGAGATGAAGTTAGGAGGAGGGTGTTGGGGAGAATTCATGCTTCCTGGGGTGGATCTAACTCGATTGAGAATGTTTATAAGAAATTGGATGATGTTTCGGATTTGTATATGCTTTACTTGACCTCTGTTTATTATGTGTTTGGTTTTAATTCTCAGTATGGTCCTGGCAGTTCTTTTAAGTGTAGTAAACCGACGTGGGCTTCTGATGCTGGTAGTTGTTTGAAGCAGTATGAATCGAGGTCGTTTTTGGCTAAATTGGCTGGTTTTCAAACTGTTGCTTTTGTGCCTCTCAAGGCGGGGGTTGTTGAGCTTGGTTCGATGGAGATGGTACCTGAAGAGCAGGGTTTTTTGGATATGGTCCGGGCAACGTTTGGAGAATCTACTTCTGGACAGGCTAAGGCGGCACCGAAGATTTTTGGGCGTGAGTTAAGCTTAGGGGGAGATGCGAAATCTCAGTCCATTACTATTAGTTTCTCCCCGAAGGTGGAAGATGATTCTGGCTTCACTTCCGACTCTTTCGAAGTACAAGCGCTTGGGCCAAATCATGCTTATGGTAATTCTTCAAATGGTGGTGTAGGAGACATTAATGAGGCGAAAATGTTCCCTCAGTTAGGTCAAATGGCTCCTGGGAATTTCACTTCTCAAGCAAGAGTTTCTTCTATAGATTTGGTTAACGAAGAGTCATCTTCACCTCTTGGAGACGAGAGGAAGCCTAGAAAAAGAGGGAGAAAGCCTGCCAATGGACGAGAGGAACCGCTGAATCATGTTGAAGCGGAGAGGCAAAGACGGGAGAAGCTTAACCAGAGATTCTATGCCTTAAGAGCTGTTGTTCCTAACATTTCTAAAATGGACAAGGCTTCTCTACTTGGTGATGCTATCACCCATATCACTGATCTCCAGAAGAAGATCAAGCTTTTGGAAACTGAGAAAAACATGGCTAAAGGCTCACAGTTGCCATTGCAAGATATCGATTTTCAGGCTAGACAGGATGATGCCGTTGTGAGAGTGAGTTGCCCCTTGGATATTCACCCGGTTTCTGGTATCGTTAAAGTGTTGAGAGAACATCAAATTATAGCTCAAGAGGCAAATGTTTCAACTGCACAGGATAAGGTAATTCATACTTTCTCCATAAGAACTCAAGGAGGGGAAGCAGCTGCTCTACAGTTGAAAGAAAAGCTTGAAGCATCTTTATCCAAAAATTAGTGGTGAAAGTATAGTTATTATATAGTGTATATCTCAATGCAAACTATGTATGTATTGTTCTTATGCTAGCTGACATCACATGCCAGAGATTCTAGGAAATTTAGTTTATTATAATTTAAATTGTAAGATATGGAGCTAAAAATATTTTTGAACTTCCCAAAATTATTAATCTGTCATTGATTATCTCCGAGCAAATGCATGATTTGAACTTGAATCAATGCAATATACTATGAACTTGTGAAGGTTTTGCGCAAAATGTGTACAGTCCTCCCTGGTCATGGCATTGCTGGATTCCCTGTTGTCAAGGAATTCATCCGTGGATTGGAATGCTTTCAGCACTATTAGGATATGGATGTCGGACACGTCTGTGTCTTGGCTCTACTTGTTATTGTTTTTGAAGTATCTGTTGCAATTTGCTGATTCTTGCATAGTAGGGGGATTGGATTGTGTTTATGGCTGCAGTTATTACTTGCTCGTTCCAATGTAGAATTCATTCTCTACTCCTTATTTGTGGATAAATTAATTTATTATTTACTTTCTTAAATTGATCTGTAAGTTCTTTTTTATGATCATTATTCATCTAACTAATTTGTTAAATGATATAGCATGTTACAATTCCTTTACCATGTTTTGGCAGAGAAAACATGTTCCATTGTGGGGGAAATTTTCTCAATCTCTTCGTATCATCAATTCTACTAAAACAAAATTTTAGAGTGTGATTGGATGAAATATTTTAATGATGAAAAATAATTTTTTTAAGAGAATTTAAAATGATTCAATCAAAATTTATTGTTTGGATAAAAAAATAAAAAAAATTGTTAGAGTTATGTAAATTTATAAAGTATTTTATTCAATTAAATTTAAAGATACAATAAACAGGTATAAATTTTAGTAATGAAAACAATGCATGATACGCAATTTGATTGGTAATTGAAACACAAATATTATCAATAAACACATACAAATAGAATCAAAATTTATTATCTTGAGAGCTTTTAACATGATATGCCCATGAATCTCCTTTTACAAGGATAAGAGTTTTTCAATGGTTAACTTTCCAACCAAAAAGGAGTTTTAAGTATAAAGACCTCTACAAACTTATAACAAGTTAAACTAACGAACCAAGAGAGATCTTTTAACATATGGCTAAGTCCACGAACCGACTGAGAGGTTTAATAACTGAGACATCCCCAACTAAACAGAGGCTTTATTTGATTTATCTCAACAATTAAAAGAGCTTTTAATGGTTTATATCACAACCAAACAACACCTTATACAATAAAAAAATATAACATAAGAGATAATAAACTATTGATTAATTTATAAATTTACCCCACAGCAGAAACAATGATCCTTAGAAAGCACAAATTCACTCTTAAAGCACTATAAAAAAATAAAGTGAGAAATGATAGATTTGTAGAAAAAGAGTGGAGAGTGAGAAATAAGGATCAAAATCCATTTTTTTTGGGATGATTTAAAATGATAGGTGAGCCCTTTATTTAATATTTTAAAACATTGCATAATTTTGGAAACAAACCATGGGCTAATTAAGGCTCATAATAGATGGGTCATTTTTTTGATTCCTTGCTGTTTATAATCATTTAAGGGACTTCTCAATAAATTTTAAGCATTACAAAGTGAAATAATCGAATATTCTAAATGTCTAATTGATTATTCCTTTGTAAAATATGATTCTAATTGATCAGACATTTCCCTAATCAATTGGTTAAGCTTTAAACCATTTTAGGAGATTTCATAAAATCAAAAGAGGCTTTTTAAGAGGTATAAGTTTGTTGTGATTTGCCTTAGTAGAACCTAGAGTTAGTCTTATACCTTTAGAGACACTGATCATTCGACACAGACTAACAAACTTTCATACTTTCTCTCTATAACAACTTTGAAGCTTCGGGTTCCTTGCCACATTATGTTTTACTTTAGCACTTAATTGGAACCTGAAATTTTCTTTTAATGAGACTTGAGATAACTCTTCATGATATCCTCCATCATCAAACAAACCTCTTGATAAAAAATATTCACTGATTTCCGCTTGACATGAGGCGTTGTCTTCACAGATTGGCACATATAAATTGATCTCTAAGTACAATAATATTTATCACCATAAATTAATCAAAACTTTGATTACAAATTGATATTCAATCACATCCACTTGATTATTGCATTAAATGATCTTCAACTTTCATCTTGATAAGCACATATTGATCTTAGGGCATTATCACTTGGTCAACATATCAAGCACTATCACTTGATCAACATATCAAACACCATGACTTGATCAACATATCAAGTACGATCACTTGATCACCAGCTTGTCATGCATCATTACTTGATTAATACATTAGAAGATATCATCTGAACCAATGAGCCTTGAACAACAAGATTGGTGAAAACGTTTCTTAAGAGTGTTGTAAACATCAAAACCAAATAAATATTCATAACTACAAGCACATAGATCTACATTCTCCCCCTTTTTAACGATGACTATGCAACTCCCAGGGAGGTGGAGAAACAAAGAAACAAGGGTGATAAACTTGGAGTGGTTAAATTACCCCTAATAAATATAGAGAGTATACACTACCCCCATGAGAATATACTTCTCCCCTTTTGACATTATCAAAAAGGTGAAAAAAATAAATATATAGACAAATATGGAAAGTATCCAAGTACATAGATCAAAGCATGCTCAAACATTTAAAAGAAAAACATAATTAATTAATTAAAATAACAAAATTCAAGTCAAAAAGGGAAATAACTAGAAAACTCTAAAAAAGAAGAAGCAAGAAACACATAAGTGAGACAACTACTTAGTGTCATCTTCATCATTATTGAAAAATCCATAAGATAAGTATACTATATCCTTAATAAAGTGATTAGGCTAGAAGTTGATCTTTTTACCTGTCCTCTCCTTCCTTTTAGTGACCTCTTGGATAAGGGAATCAATGAAGGGTTTTTTTTAGGAAACTCATAGTTGAAATCATCCATATTTTCAGAGACTTCCTGATGAGGAGACGATGTTGATGCATGTTGGTCTGTAGAGCTTTTCTTCCCCTTTGGAGGATTTTGAAATATCTCCTCATTGAAAATTTTGAAGCAAATTTTCCCTAATGCAGTCTCTCCTATTACTATTATATCTTATTCTATTTCTTCTCGTCCAAGATTGAACCCAACATGTCCAAAGACTTAGTTATCAAATAAATATATGGTTGGAACAATCCTTTCTTTTTGTTTCCTATCATGTGATGGATCTCTGTGTAACACCCCCTTTTTATACCCCCAAATAAATTAAATAAATCAATTAGGCACTTAGAAAATTTATTTCATCAGAGTTTAATTAAAACATGGTATAAAAGAGGCGCATCACATTATCATGAAATTAAACACATACGATACCTGCTCAAAATAGATATGCAACAATGGGTAACCCACATCTCAATATTTAGAATAAAAGCGGAAACATCCAAATATTGAATCAATCACATTCATAAAGGTATATACAACCATCAGTTATTCATGCTTTACAACAGATCCACAGCAGATACATATACATATGTATCACAAAAGAATCAAAACAAATGTAACTCCAAAAGAGTCAAAGGCTTCCTAACTACCCAGATGTTACATATCAGAGCCATTGACCAAAAAGAATGAAGACATCGCTTCACAAAAGAACCTCCAGCTTCCTACTCTGCAATGCCTCATAGAGCATTATAAAACAGCAGAAGGGTGAGAAACAACATCATAACAGTTAATGCATAAAATTGTATATATACATAACTCCATAATTATACAAGTTATACTCAAATTATGTTCTCACCACATTAAGCATATACAAATAATCATGTCTCTACACATACACATGAACAATCACTATATTCCCTCCAAACAATCACATATAACATACACAGTTATATTCACACAACCAATGCATCATACACAGATGACTCATGCAACTCATAGAGACCGACACACGACTCTATGCAGATGCAAATGCGGTACCGACTCATTAAACAAATTCCCTAAGGAATCGAGTATTCAGCAGATCCTCCACGGGATCAAGTACTCAGCAGATTCTCCACGGAATCAAATATTCATCAGATTCTCCACGGAATCGAATATTCAGCAGATCCTCCACGGGATCAAGTACTCAGCAGATTCTCCACGGAATCAAATACTCTAACCAATCCTCCACGGGATTACATGTCATGACCGATTCTCCAAGGAATCACACAATGCAACCGATTCTCCAAGGAATCAAATATAACCATCGTATCATACGAGGTTCTGCAAATCCTCCGAGGGATCAATCGACACAAAAATGCATACTATGCTCACAAACATATTCATTGCATTTATCACATACATCGCATATATCTATCATGCATTCACATTATGCACCATTCCACACATGGTTCACACACATATCAGCCCATCAATGCGTTTCTATTCAATTCGAGCAAATACACAAGATTATCAAATATTCAAGATTCATCATTTACTCTACAATCTAGGATTCACGCCTTTCGGCCACCCACAGCACGACATGTTGGAACAGTTCACACATCAATCATTCATATAGGCATTAATCATAATTGAATCAACCAAACATCATGCTATGAACAAACAGCAAAACAAAATAACACTGCCAGGTTCGCCAACCTTCGCCTGGCGAAGCCACGCAGCGAATGCTCGCTGGCCTTCGCCTGGCGAACTCCCCAGCGAAGTCCACTGGGAGTAATTCTGGAATTACTCGCCGAGGCTCGCTACCCACTCGCCTGGCGAACCATCGCCAACTCACCTCGCCTGGCGAACTTGCCAGCGAATACAGGGTATTAGCTTCTGACTTGCTTCGCTACAGCTCGCTGGGCTTCGCCTGGCGAAGCTTCGCTGCCATTCGCCTGGCGAACTTGCGAAGACAGAACTTCCATGGCTGTCTCAAAGCCCAAACTCCACACAACCAACCGATTAAATCCAAACCAATCACA